CGGAGGAGCCGCCGGTCTCTGGTGTCGATGCAATGCACGTCCCGAACCTTCGTTCCCCCGCCGCAGCTCCTGGAGCACTGGGAAAGGACTCGAGCGTCACGGTGGGGACCGGTGCAGGGGGATCCCTCCAGCAGCGGGAGGTGACCCCCAGACATGCTCTGCCTTGGGTTGCCTTGAGCAGGTACCCAACCCCTTGTCACCTCCAGCCCACACTAGAGAATGGTCCCATGCGATTCTGGACCTGTCACCACCGTCCCTCTGGAAGCACTGAGATTCCAGTTGTAACAGCAACAAAGTCTTTGTGCGTTACGCACCTGATGATGCCGAGAACGGCGCCCATGCTGAACAAGGAGGGCTGCTCCTCACCACTGAATCTGTGGGATTGACCCAACCACAAACCCTCCACTAGGGCAGTTTCCCAGAGACCTAAAAGCCACTCCTCATTTAGCTTTTGCAAATCCCTGGCTTTTTAAGCAGCCCAGGAGCAGGAAAAATGCACATATTACTGAGGGATGGAGCAGTTGAAACCCCATGGCAAGTGCAAGTCTTGATCCTCTGCCTCCTTGAGCCACGGCGCACGAGGACACCCTGAGAGCCACAGGGCAGGGACCCTTTTCCTGTGGATTTTTGGGGACCCCCCCGCCAGTTGGACCCTCACCTACCTTGCTCCAGTTGCCCACGCGCCACGAGGAGCACGGCCGCGGGGAGCACCTCCGTGCCGGGACGGGTTTGTCGGCCACGGCGCAGCCCTCGTCGCTGCCGCTGCTGCAGCGCACTGGTCTCCAGATCGCGCCCACGCCGCAGGTCACCGAGCACTGCAAGGCAACGGCAGGCCCTGGTGGGGCTGTCCCTTTGTGTCCCTCATGTCCCCAACGCCCCGTGGCCGGCGCTGGCCAAGGACGGAGCCCGGTGGCCCAGCAGAAAGGTCCCTGGGGACACAGCCCATCAACCCCGCTGTGGGCATTGGGGGTGCCAGGTAAACCTGGGTGTGTGGAGGAGCTTTCCTGGCACTGCCCCACGGAGATTCCCCATAGCAAAAGGCTCCTCTCCAACCAGGTCCCCATGGAGCAGCCCTCGGTTTGGGGGAAGAAGGAGGAAAACCTGGATTTATTTTGTAGCAGCCTTCCCATCTCAAAAACCTTTGCAGGGCTTTGAAACACGCCTGGTTCCTCCAGGCCACAGCTGCCATCAGTCCCAGCCCAGCACAGCTCCCTCCAACGCCCCGGCTCAATGCTCATTTGTAAAACCCACACGTGGGGCTGTGTTTTTGCTGATATTGTTTTCCTGACTGTCACTGGGTCCTTTGTGCAGCCTTCTTCAAAGACCCCCCACCGCTCCGTCTCCGGCGCTCCACGACTCCGCAGGATGTTATTTTTGTGCTTTCTGATAAAAGCCCATCCCCACGCCCGGCAGCAGCGTTCATCCATCACTCCAACGCTGTGCAGCCCGGCAGTCACCATAGCTGATAACTGCTGATAATCCCCCCAGCACCGCGCTCCTCAGCCCCTTCCCTTTGCTGATGGGCAGCCTTGACGCGCCTTGCACTTGACATTTAAATTTCTACCTTTTCGTGGCCTATTTTAAGATATAAAATCCTACCCCATACAATGGCAAGAGCTTGCTCCCGAGCCAGGGGCTCTCCCTGGGTGCTCTGTGCTTGCTGGCTCCTCCAGACCAGGCAGGAATTTGGGTAGGGAGCACATTTCCCTACCCACCATGTCACGCACTCAACACCTACCTCGCTCCAGTTGCCCACCTCCCAGCTGGGCATCGCTGTGGCCGCCACGGTGGTCGATGGCACAAGCCAAGCGTCTTCCTCCTCCATCTCTTCCCTCTCCCAGAGTGGCGGTGGGGCTGGGGTGGGCTGGGACAACTCCTGCTCCCCATCACCCAAAGAAAATGTCCCTGGGGGTGCCCATGGTGAGCGCTCCCCCGGCGCAGTGCTGCTGAGTGGGGTCCCATGCGATGTCTGCTCTGCACGGGGCGATGCCGGCTCTGGGTGGTGGGACACCCCCATGGTCCACCATGCTGGGGGGGACATGGAGCGTGATGCTCCTACCGGGTGCACAGGAGGGCTGTGAGCTGGGGCTGTGGGCACAATTGGTGCCAGGGCATCTTTCTGGGTGAGGCTGCTGGAGGTGAGCTGGGGGGCTGGCCCGGGCACGGCAGAGGATGGGGACACTGCTGCTGGAAAGGCTGTGGTGGCCACCAAGGGGGCCAAGGTCAAGGATGTGGGGGTGTGGAGCTCTGATGCCAGCCCCGTGGAGCCCCTGTCAGCACCCATGGGATGAGGACCCACAGTGGGATGGGTGCTGCCAGCTCTCCCCACCTCCCACCCCGGTCCATGTGGGGTGGGGAAGGAAAGTCCTGCCCTCTCTGTCCCATGGCTTTGCTCGGTGGTCACTGGTGCTGTGTGTGTGCCCACTGTCCCCTCCGGCGCTTCTGCCCACCCGTCCTGCTCCTCGGGCTTGGGGATGCTCTCAGCATCCCCAGTGATGATGAGATCCATTTCCCTTGGGTCTTCATGGCCTCTCTCCACAGAGCCGGCCACGTCGTGCTCCTCGCTGCTGGCACTACCCAGCACCTCACCGCTGCTCCCCACCTCTCCTGGACTTTTGGACGTGTCTGCACCCGTGGGCAGCAGTGGGGAGGGACTGACCGGGTAAGGAGCCCATGGATTGAGGCTGCTGGTTGGAGCATCCTGCCCAGGACCGGTCCCCATTGGCACGGCTCCCCTGGGCTCATCTGGGGCCGGGCGGTCGTGGGACACAAGCGTTGTGTCCTCCTCCTCCCCCACGAAGTCAGGGATGATGTCTTTGGGAGAGGCTGTCCCCACGTCCTCAGGGACTGAGCTCAGGGGGTCACTGGGGGCTGAACCCCCCGGCTCTGTCCCTCCTTTGGCGTGCACAGCAGCAGAGGTGGTGGCTTCGCTGGTCACCAGATGGTCCTCGCTTGCTCCTCCTCCCAGCTTGACGGTGTGCAGGACCTCAGTGGGCATCTCATGGGACCCCTCCACATCATTGGGGCTCAGCTCTGGCTTTGCCCCCTCGCCTTTGGTCTCCTTCTCCATGAAGGGGTAATAAGACAGATCCTCGTGGAAGTTGATAAAATTATAATCGTAGTAAAAATCATCAACAAAGACATTTCCCTTCTTGGCCGAGAAGTCCTCCCCGGTGATGACATTGAGATCGTTGGACTCGGGGATATTTGGAATGACAGGGTTAAACTTAGCAATGTGGTTGCTGGGGATGTAATGGATCTCATTGAGGATCTCCCTGCTGGAGGCCCCGCTGCCGGACCACTCCGTGTCAGCACTGTCCCATTTGTCCTGGCAGGGCAGCGAGGAGCACGCAGCTTCCGAGCTGGGTCTCTCTGCAGGGTCACAGGCGGCTCCTGTGCTGTTGCTGCAGTGAACCCGGCGCTGCCGTGTCCCGTTTCCACACGTCACAGAGCACTGGGGAGGAGAAGAGACACAAACATCAGGGCTGGGAGTGAGAAGAGCAGCAGGAGGAGTGGGGAAGGGGCCAGCAGCGGTGCCCATGCCCCTCTCCGAGACACCAAAGTGGGTGCTCAACCACCCCTGCCATGCTCCCACCACCCACATGGGTCCCAAGACTCTTGTGCCAGTCCCAGCTGGGGCATGGGGTCCCCTGTACTGGGAGCCAGGAGCAGGGGGTACCGGTCACACCAGTAAGCAGTGCTATTACCAGTTAGATCCACCTTGGGGCTGCCTCCCCATGAAATACCCGGAGCAGGGTTGGTGCTGCAGGGAACTTTGCTCAGGGCATCCAGGACCTGCACCGCAGCCAGAAATGGTTTTCCCAGGAGATGGACATTGCGAAGGGCATTGGGCAAGATGATCTCACGGCTCTGCGCCGTGACCTATCCCCATGAATCGCAGCCCTTCTTCCAGAAGGGCATTTTTGTGAAGCAGGGGATAATAACAAGGGTGTTGTCCCAGTAGGGAAAAAGCAAGGGTCAAGAAGCAGCTTTGTTGAGGACAGCCCCTCCTCCACCATAATGGTCTCTTTGAGATCGTTCAGCATAAAAGAAACCCACAAGCTGGAAAGAAAGAGCAACGTTTTCTGCTGGATAAGTAAAACACAGCGCTGCTAACATCACACGTGGGCTGTGCGGCCCCAGCCACCGCCGCTGCGGTTTGCGGTGACAGACACAGCCACGTCGATCACAGCGCCTCACACAGCCCAGCCAACAGGAACACGCGGCCAGCGAGGCAAAGCAACCCAGCCGAGGGGATTTTTGGATAGAAATGGATGGGTTGAGAAGGGGGGGTTGATGCACAACCACCCGTGCGTGGAAATTCAGAGGTGGACACGCAGAGCTGTGGGGCTGGCCGGGAGATGTGCTCCTCACACAACGCGTACTCCAGGATTTTAACATCTACAGGAGGGGTGTGAGCGAGGTGCTTCACCCTACTGCGATGGCCAAATTGGGGACAACAGAGGCCAACTCCTGCTGCGTCTAAAATGTCTCAGCAAACGCCTCCAGGAGATAAATTCCAAGTATTGAAGCTGCTGCAGGGCTATGAGGGGGCTTATTTGCCAAGGCTGGGTTATCAGGAAAGCCTCCGGGATGCAGATAAGAGCACTCAGAGCTCACAAGGGGGGTCAGCATCAAGCCCACAGCCGTGGGAGGTGATCCCAAAAGCAAACCCTCCTGCATTAATGAGCAACACATAATGAACTCCTTTGGCAAGCCCCTAGGGCTGGGTATACGTTGTTTAGGGTCCTTCTGAAGGCACCGAGTCCTTAAATGAAAGGAGGACAGAAAATTACAGGTATCTCGTTTTCCCTGGGCTCACAGATCCGTCGATGTCAACGCCGCAGCAGACGACGGTGACAGCTCGGGCTGGCTCCGTGCACAGCTCAGCACCGCCAGCAATCTGAGATTTTCCCTTTAAGCCGTGGCAGCCGTCTTGCTCAGCCCTGCAATTGTGGCTTTTGTGGGCCCCTAGCAAAATATTTCTAAATAGCTCTCATTTACCCTTCAAATTTGCTGTTCGTGTTTTTTATTCCCTTTGTTCCTTAGCAACAAGCTCGGTTCCCAGGCTCTCTCGTTTCTCTCCCCGTGCTCGTCTCCACACCGAACACTTTCTGAAACCACTGCTCGAATTAGGAGTTACAATTTTCTGGTTAAACCCCCCAATCTGCGGTTAACCTGATCCCCAGAAATACAGAAATATAAATAAAGGCTGCACAGGGTGTCCACAGACCATGGCATTTCCCACATGGGTGGGGTTTTTGATCTCTCTCTTTCTCTCTATTTTTAAAAAAATGGTTGAAAAATGTGCAATGGTTCCCTGGGAGCATCGCTGAGGGGTCCCTGCCCTCATCCGGATGGGTTTGCCCCATAAGCTGGATGTCTCTTGGGACATCCTGGGGCTGCTCTGTCCCCAGCTCCCGCTTTGCAAGACCCCGGGCCCCCCCCCGCCGCTGCTTCTCACCTCGGACCAGTTCCCCACAGCCCACGGGGAGGGACAGGGGATCTCCTGGGGACAGGGCGCGGTGGCGTCTGGCCTGGGGAGGTGCTGGCAGTCCGCGTGCTGCAGGGCCCGCTGCTCATCCAGCCCCACGCTCTGGATGCAGAGCACCGTCCTCTTCAGCAGCCCCGCGGGGCCGCACGTGGCCGAGCACTTCTGCCACTCGCCGACCCACCACCTGCAGAACACCAAACACCTCAGCCACCAGCCCGGCTCTGTCCCGTGCCCCCACGCCCTGGGTTGTAGCCACCAACAGCCAAGGGGTGTTTGGGGCTGGGGGATGCAGGCAACGTGCATGCGGGTTTCAGCATCCCATAATGATCAATGGGGAATGGGGGAATTGGGATCCTGGCTGTGGCTTGGGATTCAGCCCCAGGTTGGGGTGCCTGGAGCGGGGTCACAGAATTCCAGAATCACAGAACATGAAGAGCTGGAAGGGCCCTGGAAAGCTCCCCCAGTGCAACCCCTGCCAGAGCAGGATCACCAGAGCAGTCACACAGGAACACGGCCAGGGCTTTGGGTGTCTCCACACAAGGAGACTCCACAACCTCTCTGGGCAGCCTGGGCCATGCTCCAGAACCCTCACACTCACAAACTTTGGCCTCATCTTCAGCTTGAACCTCCTGTGCTCCAGCTTGGGACCATTGCCCCTTGTCCTGGCATTGGCCATCCCAGAGCAGAGCCTGGCTCCTTCCTCCTGACACTGCCCTTTCCCAATGGATCCCCAGGAATGAGGGCACCCCTCAGTCTCCTCTGCTCCAAGCTCAAGAGCCCCAGCTCCCTCAGCCGCTCCTCAGCAGAAGATGCTCCACAGTGTTCACTTCTACAAGTGATAGTGCTTGTATGGTAAGGAAACATGGCAAGGCCACTGTCTCACCATGGGTACTATATCTGCACCTCATCTTTGTGGCTCTGCTGGACTCTTTCAAGCAGTTCCTGTCCTTCTTGAGCTGAGGGCCCAGCACTGGACACAAGATTGCAGCTGTGGTGTGAGCAGGGCAGAGCAGAGGGGCAGGAGAACCTCTCTGCCCTACAACCACCCCTTCTCATCCAGCCCAGGATGGCGTTGGCCTTCTTGGCTCAAGGGCACACTGCTGGCTTGTGGTCTGCGGACAAGCAACGCATTGTGGTGGTCAGGCCAGGGATTTGCTCCCATGGCCCAAGGCTCTGGGACCTGTTCTCAAGGATAAGGGAGAAGAGAGGTGCAAACCTCGGGGTGTAAAGAGCTGCGTGTGTCCCGGTGCCACCCGGGCATCACAGCGACCGAGGTCCCCCTGACCCTGGGCACCCCCTTAAGGCAGGTTGGGCATTAAAGCTCTGCTGGGGAGGAGGGAGGGGACACCCATGGGACCTGGCGGGGCAGGGCTCCTCGCCGCACGTCCTCTGCTGGTCGTCGGGGCGGGTGAGCGCGTCGCAGTAGCGCTCCTCCACGATGCCCGCCAGCTTCTCCACGCAGTGCACGATCTGCCGCTGCACCCCTGCGGACACAGGCCAGGGGTGAAAATCACACCGAGACACCCAGCACCCCTGCCAGAGGAGCCCCAGGGTCACCAGAAACAGGGGAAAGGAGATGGAACCACCACTGGAATTGAAACTGGAATCGACTTCTGCTGAGGTGCTGATGCCCTTGCAGAGGTGTCCTCGTATGTGTCCTCCTGCGGTGCCAACAGCACCAGTGCTCCCAGTGCACCCAGTGGGAATAGCAGAGCTGGACACCTGGTCTCAATGCAACACGTGTGTGATGAGACCTATGGAGCTCAGCTGGGCTGGAAAATGACCCTGGAGTTGCGGCTGCAGAAACCCCTGGAGTAAAACCTTTCCCGTCCTGCAGCTTTTACAGCTCATGGATAAATCACCCACCAAAGCCGCATGTTCCCAGTCTGCAGTGCTCATGGGGTGATATTTTTGAGGATGCCCTCACCTCACCCTCACTGCCTGCTTTTGTCCCCCTTTTTACAACACAAACTTGACCCATGACTCGGGAGAGCTGGAAATATTAACCCCCGCCATCGGCTGAGATCGATGCTGCCCGATGCCGAGGAACACCTGGTGCAGTAATGGGACACCCAGCAAGGAGCAAAGCACCGTGGTGACCTCAGCAGATGTCGCTTTCCCCCCAAAAAAACCCCTCCAGAAACCAAAGACCCAGGAATTTCGAAGGCATTCCCGTGGTATGAGGATGCTCCTCCAGCAGACTCACCGGTGCCGCAGGTGGCCGTGCACGGGGTCCAGGAGCCGAAGCGCCAGAGGAACTCTGCCTGCTGGATCTCGTTGTGGCTGTCGGGCGGGCGCTGGATGGTGTACTGGTACCGCACCCCCGGGTTGGTCTCCTGAAACAGCAGCTGCAGGGGGACAGGGGCTGCTCAGGGGGCGGCTGCTGCAGAGCATTGGGGCTGGTCACCGCATCCCAGGGGCTTTTCAGGATGTCCACAATTGTTGAGGTTGGAACAGCCCTCTGAGATCATCCAGTCCAATGTCAACCCCACCATGGCCATAAACCATGTCCCCAAGTGCCACATCCACACGGTTTTGAGCCCCCCCAGGGATGGGGACTCCACCACTGCCCTGGGCAGCCCATGCCAGTGCTTCACCACTCTCAGTGAAGAAATTTGTCCTCATGTCCAACCTAACCCTCCCCTGATGCAAACGTCCAGTAATAACAAAAAATAACAGTAAGAGCATTGAGAACCATCAGGGCTTTGGTTTTACATCTCCCCTGATGAAGGACCTGGAAGGATTCCCCTGTTAATCCCATCCAGTCCCACCACCAAAAGCAGCCCCATCCAAGGACATGCTCAAGGTTCAGCACAGTAAAGGGCGCAGCACGGCCGGACGTCCCCTTCCCCGCAATGGGAGCTGGAGGAGGAGGATTTCCATGTGCCAAAAACGCCAGCGATGGCTGACGGTGACACTCGCATGAGGAACTGCACTCATCTCCCTGGAAATGGGATCCCACTGCTCCGGCTCCTGCGGTTGACACAAACCCTGCCCAAAGCACCGCCCGCACCCGCGCTCAGCAAAGGCCGGGAGTTGAACCCTGTTTTTCTTAGCCTAAGCGCTCCCATTATGGCCAAAGCTTTGTTGTTCTTGGAGCTTTGGCGGGAGCGAGGGCGTCTTTCCAAATCCTCTCGAAACCTTTTCTGTCCAAAGGTTTTAATTACGTTACCAAGCCCAGAAAGCCGTTTGCGGGTGCTGAGCGCACCAGCGTTCCCGTTAACAGCAGCGCTTGGCGAGCCCAAGGTCCCGCTCCCATTTCAGTCTCATTTCTGGAAGAAATGCAAAATTTGGAGCCTTTGGCCGCTCGGCGTGGCCGGGCTCCAGCACAAGCGGCTGCTGCTCGGGAAGGGTGTGGGGCTGAGCCACCATTGCCAGGGCCAGGGGGGTCCTGGGGGTCTGTGGGGACCAGCAGGGACAGCCCCGAGTCCCCCACACTGCGCTCCCTGTCCATCACCCTCCCACCCACCATGACAACTCTGCAAAGCTCCTTACAACACACAGCTGCGCTGAAAAGCAATCCCTGGGCAGCTCTTTTCCATGGAAACAAGGTGAGAATTAATAAAGTGGGATCAGTTTGCAAAATAAGGCAATTCCCAGATAAGCCCCAGCGCTGTCGCTGCTGCGGCGGACGAGGGGATTAGCGATGATAAGATACAGGGCAGGCCCCGGGAAAGGGGCTCTTCCTCCTCGGGCTCTCTGCTGAGTAAATATTTGGAGGAGAGCTGCAAAGCTCAGCTGGAAGCGGTGTGGGATGGAAGCACTCCCTGAGCCAGCTGCTCCCAGTATCAGCTCCCAGTGAAACTGGATCAGCGAGGAGATGAGCTGCTGCATCCCAGCCCTCGGATGGACCACGGCAGCTCAGCCCCACAGGGGCAGGCAGGGGACCTGGTGACAACGTCCCCTCCATCCTCCCCAGCCACCACAGAGCCCAGACCATACCTGGATCCACACTGGCTCCACGGTGGGCCCTGGGGAGGTGAGGTTCTCCCAGTTCCCCGTCCTCTTGTAGGTGAAGGTGGTCCCCGCCACCCTGTAGTCCCCGTTCCACTGGATGGTCCAGCCGCCGTTCAGGAAATACTTCTCGGGGTCCTCGCTCCGCAGCGCCAGAAAATTCCCAGCTTCTGCGACTTCTTCAATCCGGATTTCCCGCGCTCCCACCGGGATAATCCCAATATCGACGTAACCTGGGAACGGCACCGAGCATCGCTCTCAGGGGAGTCGAAGATGTGGGTGGGTGCTACTGACCCTTTGGTGGGTGCTAGCATCTCTCAGGTGGGTGCTATCGTCCCTTGGGTGCCAGCATTGTGCCAATCCTTATATGTCTGTAAGGCACCAGCGGGCACCAGACCCCACCTGCATTCCCCACTGCCCATCCCAGAGCGAGGTATTTCCCACACAGGCGCTGACAAGGTGTTTACCACCCTTTCAACACGTCCTTGTCAACCCACAAAATCCCCTTAAACCTCTCCAAACCAGCTCCAGCTTTGTTTTCAGGCCTTTAGACACAAAAAGCATATGGGGATGCTTTTCTTTTGAGGAGCAAGAAGTGGAGTGGCAACACCACATCATCCTACACTGTTGCTTGGGTCTTATCCCATCCAAATTGACAAGTTTGGATTAAAAATCACACTTCAAACGAGCAGCAAGGCTGGGTCTGTGTGGAGCAGGGACCTGGGGACAGACCAAATGCCCTTACCCAGCCCCTCGCTGTCCTCGAAGGTCTTCTTGACCGTGTGGCACGTGGAGCCGTCCCCATGGCAGACGCCGCACCGGTCCTCCATCGCGTTGGAGTCGATCTCGTAGTCACAGCCCACGTTCTGCAAGGGAGCCCCATCAGTCGCCTGCACCCCTACCTGCACCCCTGCCTGCACCTCTGCCTCACACCATCAGCTACCGACACAGGAGGAACAAGGGAGAGCAGCACCAGCCTTGGTCCTACAGTGCAGGATGGGTGGTGATCCAGCCCCATCGGCTGCAGTCCAGGTCACTCGAACACCTCCTCGTGGTCCTGCCCTCCTGTTCCTACCCCGTGAGGAGCACGATCCAGATCTCATTTTCACCTTTTCTGACCCAATTCCCCAGGCAGCAGAGCCGGTCGGTACAGCCGAGCCCAGCTGGGGAAGCCCTTGGTCCCTGGTCCTGCTCCAAAACACTTCCTGAAACCTTTTAATTTCTAATATTCTGCTGAAGATCTCATGTCAAATCGCTCGACCCGTGCACAGTGAGACACTCCCTGTGATTTCCCTATAAAAGCCGCAGCCAAGGCCCCGGAGGGTCCCGCTGGGTCCTGGCCCAGTGAGGAGCCATCGGTGACAATGAAGACTTCGTGTGCCAAAGGCACCGTCAGCTGCTGTGCTCTGCTGGGTCGCGCCATCCACGCCACATAAAAACCACAACCCCTGCGCTCCCCACCAGTCCCTGCCTGGGCATCGGCACCCCCAGCTCCGGAGGTGACTTTTACTGGAGGAACTGGGACCTCCCCAAAGGCTCCAGTTGCTGTTGGGCCAGCAGCGCTGACAGCACGGCCAGGGAGAGGGGGGAGCTTCCACCAATGGTTTTGATATCACAGGCCGCAAGGACACTCGTTGAGTGATTATTTTGCCTCTTTCCTGCTGCTCTTCCTGCTGGCCAAGAAGTCTTTTTTTATTATTATTTCCAAAAAAGCCTAATTTTTCTATAAAGCCCTTCAGAGAGCACCTTTATCTCACACTGCTCACCCTTTCCTACCCCTGACCTTATTTTCTTCATCTCCCTGGGTTTGTGCAGCACAGAATCCCAGCATCATTAATGTTGGCAAAGCCCTCCAAGATCATCCAGTCCAACATCAACCCAACCCCACCATGGCCATAAACCACGTCCCCAAGTGCCCCTTCCACACGGGTTTGACCCCCTCCAGGGATGGGGACTCCACCACTGCCCTGAGCAGCCCCTGCCAGTGCTTGACCACTCTCAGTGAAGAAATTTGTCCTAATTTCCAACCTAATCCACCTCTGGATGCTGAAATACATCCACACCTCGTGGAAATGGGGACACCGTGAAGGACAAAGCCAGTGAGCTCAGCCCACGGCGCATACGAGGCAGGGGACACCCACCTTGCAGATGCCGTTGATGCAGATGTCGCGGCTGGCGTTCCTCTCGTAGCACGGTGTCCCGTCGATGACGGCGTCCCGCAGCTTTTCGGCGAAGTACTCGTCCTCCGGGCGGCAGTGCAGCTCGCAGGGGTTAACTGGGGAGCCCAACAGGCAGACACTAAACCCCAGCAGCTTTAGGGGAGGCCACCCAACCATCTCCAAAAACATAAATTAACCCTGCAAGCCCAGCCATAATTTAAAACAGGGCATAAACACGCTGCGAGGCAAATCTTACAGACCACGTAAGGCCGTGTTTTGGGGTTTCGCCCGAGGCTGTGGGCAGAAAGCCGGCTTTGCCCTGGACTCACTGTTGTTGGGCACTGGTGTCCACCGGTAGAGCTTCCCTCTGTAGGGCATGGGGTTGAAGTGGCTGCACTGCACCTGGCGGAAGGACGGCTTGTCCGGGGGGCACGGCCTGACGTTGCAAATCCGGAACCGCTTCCGCTCCCCCAGGCAGTACCTGCCCCCGTACTTGGGCCTGCACGGAGGGAAAAGGTAAAATCAGAGAAGGGGTTGGGTCCATAGGGACCTTTAAAGCTCATCCAGCCCAACCCCGCTGCCAGGGATGTCTCCCACCAGCCCAGGCTGCTGCAAACCCCATCCAACCTGGCCTTGGGCACTTGTAACAATGGGGCATCCACAGCTTCTCTGGGCAACCTGTGCCAATGCCTCACCACGCTTGTGGTAAAGAATTTATTCCTCATATCGAACCTAAATGAGCCCTCCTCCAGTTTAAACCTATCCTGTCAAAAAAACACCTCTGCAGATGAGGTGAAATTCCATGGGTTTGTACGGGCTGCTAAGGTTTGATCTCCTGAGGCTGGGTCAAGCCCAAGTCAGGGGGAGCTCTCCCAGTTGCACCCCACACATTGCTCTGCTGTGATGCCCATGGGAGGAAGCTGCCGAGCACCCACCATCCACCCCAAAAACATCCCCCTCCACAGCGCCAGTGTCTGATATGCATGGAAACCGTGGCCCCCGTCCTTCTTCTCCAGCTCCCTCCTGGACCAGCTCCCTGCTGCTGCTGCTGGGCTACAGGACCCCTGACCAAAGGCATCTTCTGCTGAGGTACTGCTCTGCAGATGGATTAGCTACACCATGGGTCTTGTCCCTCCTCACGGCCTCTCCTTAATATGATGGCAAATTGATTTAGTTTTAAAATATATGGCCAGTTTTACAGGTCCAGTGTGCGATGCTATGAAAGCAGTGGTTAAAGTCAGGTGTTACTGGTGATGCTCACATCTGCTGCCCAAGGGGATGGCAAAGCCGCCGCTGGGCTTTGTAAAGAGCGACTTTAAAAGCAACGATCGGGTTTTCTTAGATGCCAACAGACTCTCAAACCACCACCACCATCTCCTGACGCCTGCCTTTTCCCCTGGACACAGCACTCGCCATGGCCCACGTCCCCACAGCCTCACGAAAACGACTTTTCCCCCAGTCGGCTCAGACCGGGCACGCTTTGCTGCAGAGCATGAAGTGGGTTATTAATTGAGGGCCGTGTTTACACACCCTGCCCCGAGGAAACGCCTGCGGGAGGACTGCCCGGCGCTCACGTTTGCTCACTCCATCCAAGAGGCAAAGCTGAAGATTTACCTACGGTGGCCAAAGCAAACAAAACCGCCCGGGGAAACTCTCCTGCTTTTCCGCTGCTTGCTCTCCTGCCGTGTTTAGAACACTCCATAAACTACGGCTGCACTTCTGCCATGGCACACACAGACCCTACAGAGCCAATATACGGATTTTTTTGCACAAGGGGAGGTTTAGATTAGATATTAGGGAAAATTTCTTCACTGAAAGGGTTATCGGGCACTGGAAGGGGCTGTGCAGGGCAGTGCTGGAGTCCCCATCCCTGGGGGTGTTTAAAAACTGGGGAGATGAAGTGCTGAGGGACAGGGGTCAGTGGTGCACAGGGCATGGTTGGACTCGATGATCCTAAAGGTCTTTTCCAACCAAACGACTCTGTGATTTTGTAATATCCATGGAAGGGGGCAAACTCTGCCTGGCCAACTGGGTAAACCCAGGAAATGAATCCCCCGAGCGTTTCAAAACCAGACTTTTCCA